GTAACTCCTTGCTAGGACTGCCAGATTAGCTGTGACCCTGTCACAGTTAAGTAGGTCTAGCAATCTGGAATATGGATTCAAATCTTTAAAAAGAGCCTGCCAAAAAAACACGTGAAAAGATGCTCAACATCACTCATTATCAGAGAAATGCAAATCAAAACCACAATGAGGTACCATTACACGCCAGTCAGGATGGCTGCTATCCAAAAGTCTACAAGCAATAAATGCTGGAGAGGGTGTGGAGAAAAGGGAACCCTCTTACACTGTTGGGGGGAATGCAAATTAGTACAGCCACTATGGAAAACAGTGTGGAGATTTCTTAAAAAGCTGGAAATAGAACTGCCATATGACCCAGCAATCCCACTTCTGGGCATACACACCGAGGAGACCAGATCTGAAAGAGACACGTGCACCCCAATGTTCATCGCAGCACTGTTTATAATAGCCAGGACATGGAAGCAACCTAGATGCCCATCAGCAGACGAATGGATGAGGAAGCTGTGGTACGTATACACCATGGAATATTACTCAGCCATTAAAAAGAATTCATTTGAATCAGTTCTAATGAGATGGATGAAACTGGAGCCCATTATACAGAGCGAAGTGAGCCAGAAAGATAAAGACCATTACAGTATACTAATACATATATATGGAATTTAGAAAGATGGTACCGATAACCCTATATGCAAAACAGAAAAAGACACTCAGATGTACAGAACAGACTTGTAGACTCTGTGGGAGAAGGCGAGGGTGGGATGTTTCAAGAGAACAGCATTGAAACATGTATATTATCTAGGATGAAACAGATCACCAGCCCAGGTTGGATGCATGAGACAAGTGCTCGGGCCTGGTGCACTGGGAAGACCCAGAAGGATCGGGTGGAGCGGGAGGTGGGAGGGGGGACCGGGATGGGGAATACATGCAAATCCATGGCTAATTCATTTCAATGTATGACAAAAACCACTGCAATGTTGTAAAGTAATTACCCTCCAACTAATAAAAATAAATGGAAAAAAAAAAAAGAGCCTGCCAGAGCCAAACCTACCAACCAATACCCACTAACAATGAATCACATGTGAACACTGGCTACTTCTTCAAGTAACTTAGTATAATTACTCACTCCCAGTACACATATATCTCTATAGCTTGCAGCCAGAATTATCCCTGAGAAGACAATCATGTTGCAGGGAAAGAGATATCTGACAAGTCCTAGGTGTGAGAAACTCAGCACCAAGTCAGAATCAATGCTGTCTAACTAATAACCCTTTCCTAGTAACTGGACTCTCCTGTTTCTAGGAATCTAACCTCTGCTCTTTAAATCTATTTCTGGAAATCAGATCCTTTGCCTTTGTTACAATGTGAGGTAACAAAGTTTCTCTACGACTAGAGCACTGTTGAGGCTTCTTTCCTACAGTCTGAAGTCACTGTTTTGCCAACATGCTGAAAAGTGCATCTTTCCACTCACTGTTTGATCTCTCTGTTGCCAAATACCAGCATCTATTTATTGCCTGTTTCCATACTCCAGTAGCATTCCATCTGCCTGCCCAGATTTCTTTCTAAATTAAAGCCCACTACAGGGAATTCCTAGATCACCTGAAGAATTTTAGCAGATCTGATCAGACACTAAACTCTAAGAATTCACCCTCCCTAGTACAGCCTACCGAAACTGAACTCTAGGACTAATACGCAGAATATATTTCTAAGTGGTTTTCAATTCCTGGAAAGAAAACTGAAGGAATTCAGGACTTGAATGACTTATAAATCTCTTTTTCCAAATAAAAGTTGTTACTTCTGAAGGTAAATGAGGCTATGGGAAATGAACATCTTGACTAGAAAAAAGGTGCTGAGACCAGAAGTTGAATTTTAGATGACTGCTTTTTAAAACCAATGCTCTTATGAACAAGAGTTCATAAAACCAAGAACATGTCCGAATCATGGAACTAATTGAGAAGTCTCTGAAACTAAATTTGGAGAGGAGAAAAAATGCATATAATGCATTTTTAAAATGCATCTTTTTATAATAAAAGATGTTTAACTTATATAGAGAAGAATATAATGAAGATGAATGACCATTCATCTCCAACAATTACTAACATGTTTCCACATATGCCTCATCTATTCTCTTTCCTTTGGTGAAGTAAAACACAGAATTCTGAAAAACAGCATACTAAGGCAGATGTTGGAAGGAGTCAAAGTAAAATAATTTTCAGGAAAAAGTAACAGAAGAGAGAATAGCAAACAATATTCACAGGTTGAGCGTTATCTACCAAGACAAAATACGGTTAATAAAAAGCTAAAATACAAATTTTATGGCTTTTTAACCATATCTCATTTCAGTACATACAGACAAGCTCTAACCAAAATGCCAACAGAACAGCCATGAAAAAATATACAGTATGCATTTGTTTAATTTATAAGCAATTTGAGATATTACAGTAAATTATGAAGGGATTTCATTAAAATGACAAATGTATGTAAGTATAAAAAATCAAAATTAAACTTTAATAATGCTCTATTACTGAAATAAAATGAAAAGAAACCTTTATTTCCAAGCAGTATCTGTAAGTACTTAGGAATTTTTGAAAGCCTAGAAACTTAATTATGCAAATAAGTTGTTTGTTGTTGTTGTGCCCAGTCATGTCCTCTCTTTCCAGCCCCAGGGTCTGGAGAGCCTGCCAGGCTCCTCTGTCCATGGAATTTTCCAGGCAGAAATACTGGAGTGGGTTGCCATTTTCTACTCCAGGGACTCTTTCTTACCGAGGGATCTAACTCACATCTCTTGCATCTCCTGTGCTGGCAAGCAGATTCTTTACCAATGCACCACCCGGGATGTCCCAAATCAGCGTGTCTCCCAAAATAACAAACGCTGCTGAGGATGTGGGGCAAAGGGAGTCCTTGTACACCGTTGGTAGGGATGGAAATTGGTGCAGCCACTGTGGTAAACAGCATCAAGGTTCCTCAAAAAATTAAAAATAGAACCACCATATGATCCAGCAACTCCACTCCTGGGTATTTATCTGAAGAAAATGAACACACCAAATTTGAAAAGATACATGCGCCCCAATGTTCGCAGCAGCATCACTGAGGGAAACAACCTGAGTACCCATCAACTGATGAATGGATACAGAAAATGGCACACGCTGACACCAGAGTACTACTCAGCCACAAAACAGAACGGAACTCTGCCATTTGCAAGGATACAGATGGACCTGGAGGGCGCTGTGGTCAGCGAAGTCAGTCAGACAGAGAAAGACAAATACTGCATGTTATCATAAAACACACCAACGAATACGGCAAATCAGGAACTGACTCACAGACAGAGCAAACTAGTGGCCACCAGCTGGGTAAGGGAATGGACAGCACAGGGAATGCAGTCAATATACCAACTTTAAATGGAGAGTAAATAATAAAATTCTGAATCTCTATGTTACATACCTGAAATTAATACTGTAAATCAACTACACCTCAATAAAAAAGAAGTCATTTCTCATGACTTTCCATCTAAAGCACTCTTCATCATATCCTTTTGGATATTTTGCCAAATAGTTTTATGAAAATGACATAACCAAAGTAAGCATAACAAAAGTGAACAACAGAACTCTGAGTAACAGTGCAAATTATGTTTTCAATTACACATCTCAACTCTCCTCCTACTATCACACATTAAAAAAATACCCTTGGGGTGGGGCACTGCAACTTAAAACAAAAGACTGTAGGTTAGAAACCTTAGTTCTTCCCCTGCTCTGACACTAACTAGCAATGACCCGGAACAAGTTTACTTTTTCTATTTTAACTTCAAAGCTCAGTTTCTCATTTGTAAAATAGGAATACAAATCATAGCATTAGTTAACATGTACTAGTAGCTTCCACACACTGTTAAACAGAACAGCAGGTGCTGCAACAACTGCATGAGGCTGGTACTCCATTTTACAAAGGGGGAAACTGAGGCAGATGTAATGTCTTCAACAGTACATAACATGGCAGAACCCAGATTGGAAGCCAAGCAGTCTCACTCCAGAAAAGCTGTCCCACTTCACTACTAGTCATCCTTAACCCACTTCACTACCACTCAGCCTTAACAATGACAGTTTCTAGGAGAGCAGTGTGAGGCTCCACTAATAAAGCCTCAGAGGCAACAGCTTCATAAGTGAATCCATGCTCCCCTTTGCCTTGTCATTCCTCTGGTGAAAATATCAACACAGGGAGGAAAGGTGTACAAAAAGGAAGAAGGCAGAGAGCTAGGATTAGACAGATTTACTGCCAAATAACCTGCTTCTTCAGAAGGCTGTTCATCTTTTCTCTTGGAAGTTTGATCTTCTGGGGTCTGAACAATAAAGTTCTCACAAGCACTCCAGTGTCTAACCACGGTTGGAATTACGGCGAATTACCAGACAGGCCTACCCAGGATGGTTACTTAGCATCCTATATACAGGCTCTGGGGCGAGCCGCGGGGACGCCGGCCGGGGAGAGCGAGGCCTCGGAAGTTTGTCGAGAGCGCTGGAAGCTCACGGCCCAGTTTAGGACTGTCCCGCCTGCCATGTTGGATGACAGGGCGCCCGCCAGCTCCCATTCCGGGTAAGGCCGGCCTCGGGACGCCCTCCTAAACTTCTGAACGGGCTCGCGCCTCCACCTGAGCGCAGGCAGAGGCCTGGAAGGGCCCGCTCCAGCCAGGTTCTCCAGGGAGACCCGGGGCACAACCGCAGGGGGCCGGGCCGCCGCCCTCCGTCTCCGCGGGCGCGGGAGGGGTGCGGCCCAGGGACCCTCGCCGCTCCCCCGCCGGCCTTTCGAAGGAACAGGCGCGGGGAGCGGAGGAGCCAGGCCGGCGGGCTCGGGCACCGGCGCGCCCACTGCGTCCCCGCCCCGAGCCCACCGGCCGGGGCGCCCCAGGTGAGGCCTGGGGTCCGGGGCCCGCCTCGGGCCTGCGCTCCGCCGGGCCCCTTGGGCCGCCGGGGGGTGAGGGAGAGGAGGCAGCGGCCGCGGCGCCGCTTCCGGCTCCTTACCGCTTCACCACGCCGGTTTTGATCTTGATCTGCCTCACGCGAGGATCGGCCATGGTCCCTCGAGCGCCGCGGAAAGGAGGGGCTGAGAACCGGGGTAACCGTGGCGGGGACGGCGCGGAGGAGGCGGGGCTGTCGGCGTAGCCGGCGCGGCCCGGCGCGCGTGCGCACACCCCGCCGCGGCCCCGCGCGCGGGCCGCACCCGCCGGGCGGGCGCTGGGAGACGGGGGGCCGCGGGTCGGGGGCCGCTCACCGCCTACCGCCCTGCCCGGCCTCCACCCAGTTCCCCGGTCGCGAACCTGCCCTCGTCTAGCTCAACCGTCTCCTCTTTAGTTCTTAAACAAGCCTCCTTTTAGTGTGGATACAAGTTAACACTTTTCCCGGTCTCCGCAATCTGGGCTTTGGGGAAACTTCAGTGTCTCCCCGGATAGGCTGCTTTGGCCATGGCATGGCTTTGCGAGATTCTCTGCTTAACGGACGGAGTGACCCAAAAACTGAAGATATTTTCGGTGTCATTATCTTATGTAAATGGGGCAGAATGATGCAGGTTTAAAGAAATAAAACACCATCACTCACGTAGTTAAGAGAATCCTTACCCTCTAGTCCAGACCTCTGCATTTACGTGGATAAATGCACCTAATAATAGTCATTACCTCAAGTGTATCTTAAACATTCCACTTAGAAACTTTGTGTGACACAAAAAAGCTTGGGCTTCGTGGTCAAATCAACCCGCAGGCATTCGGCGTTTTACCCTTTAATGGTTAGATGACACTGAACACGTAGGCCACTTAATTGCCGAGCCTTTTGCCTTGTACACAAAATAGAAAAATTAATGTCTGCTTTCAGAGTAGGGGCTTCCCTGGTGGCTCAGAGGGTAAAGAATCTGCCCGCAATGCGGGAGACCTGGGTTCGATCCCTGGGTTGGGAAGATCCCGCGGAGAAGGGAAAGGCTACCCACTCCAGTATTCTGGCCTGGAGAATCCCATGGACTATATAGTCCATGGGGTCGCAAAGAGTCCAACACAACTGAAGGACTTTCACTTACAGAGTAAATATGAAGGTTAAAGCAATGCCTGACACATTATAGATACTCAACAGTTTTTGACTGTTGCTTTATATTTCCAAAACAGCTATTGCATAAAATGAGGCAGGCCTCCAGTGAGCTCCATCCGCCCTCTTCCTGATGGGGTCCCCCAGAGAACGCAGGGCAGTGCTCCTTTCTTTTCTAGCTTCCTGGTATCATTCTTCAAAAACCTCAGTCTTTACCCTTCCCCACACTTGCTTCCCTCCTGGTTTCTGTGACTAGCTCCAGACAGGTCAAGACCCTGACAGTTCAAGAACTTCAGTATAAATCCAACATCAAAGCGCACCTCCTGGGGACTTCCCTGGTGGCCCAGTGGTTAAGACTCTGTGCTCCCAAAGCAGGGGGCACAGGTTCGATCCCTGGTTGGGTAACTAGATTCCACATGCTGCAATGAAAGCTTTCACACAGGGTAAGTAAGACCTGACACAGCTAAATAAATAAATAAACATTTTTTAAAAAAACCCACCTCCTGGAGAAAGTCTAGCAAGACTGACCTCTGCCTATTTCATGCTCCTTGGATACTTTGGAATCACCCAATATTCATTTTTATTTGGAGTATCTTTCTTTTAAAACCTATGTTTGAGTTCTTCATGAGAATGTGCTTACTTAACTCTTCATTGGATTACCAATTTCTTTAGAGACAAAAACCTTGTCTTCTGTAAATCTTCCTCTCCTAAACTCCACCTGTGTTCAGTATACTGCACGTGTTAAATTCAATAAATATTGTTATCATACTGGTTGGCATACTGAAATACAATTTCAAGTGACACAGCAGAGCTATGACATATGGAGTGGGAGGAATAAAAATAAAAATAAAAAAAAAAAACAATGGACTCCCCATAGCAAAATGCTACAATCAGAAATCCAGTAGATCATTCAGTTCAGTTCAGTTCAGTCGCTCAATCTCTCAGTCCTGTCTGACTCTTTGTGACCCCATGTATCATTAATATAAAGTTATTAGGTAACCCCTTAAACCAAAGAAACAGTAACAGTAAAACCCACACATCAAAAGATTGTGAAGCTAGGGTTCTTGCTACTGTCAAGGATCTTCCTTCAGTCAGGCAACAAAAACTTTGTAACACTTCATTCTTTGCTTTTTGCCATGGTTTCCAGAACCTCTGACCTCACTTTTGCAATGATTTGCAGCTTCTCCCTCAGCCTAGGTTTTTGATGTAAATACCTACTATCTCACCAAACCCCCAACTCTGCCTCCACCCATTTGCTTTTTTCCCCTTCATTTTAATGATCTTGTATGTGTGAACCAGTAATAAATAAATGTAATATACCAGCCAAAAGACCTTTGCTGCTGCTGTATACACCGAATCCTACGCTCAGGCCTTCCCCAGTGGCTCAGCAGGTAAAGAATCCACCTGCAACGCAGGAGACACAGGAGACGCTGGTTTGATCCTTGGGTCCGGAAGATCCCCTGGAGAAGGATATGGCAACCCACCTCAGTATTCTTGCCTGGGAAATCCCATGGACAGAGGAGCCTGGCGACCTACAGTTCAAAGGGTCGCAAAGAGTTGGACATGACTGAGCGACTAAGCACACAGCACATGCCCAGGCCCGCAGGGTATGTTTCATATGTGTCTATGTGTCTGTATTGCATGCTTGAGGCTACGCGTTAAGATCATGGTATTTGGCCCCATGCCTAAAGATAGGGAATAGGAAGAATGTTTCCCAGTGTCAGGAATTTAGAGTAGTGGTTAAAAGCATGAACTCTGAGGCCAAACTGCCTAGAGTCACTTTCCAGCTCTACTTACTAACTGTGAAAACCTGGACAAATTACCAACCTTTCTATGCCCCAGTTTCTTCATCTGTAAAACATGGGTGATAATAATAATGTTGTTGTTGTTTTAGTCGCTAAGTCGTGTTAGACTCTTTTGCAACCCCATGGACTGTAGCCCGCTAGGCTCCTCTGTCCATGGGATTTTTCAGGCAAGAATACTGGAGTGGGTTGCCATTTTCTTCTCCAGAGGATATCCCTGACCCAGGAATTGAACCCACATCTCCTGCATTGCAGGTGAATTCTTTACCACTGAGCAAAGCCCGATTATAATAATACTTACCTGATAATGTTGTTATAAAGCCTAAATGAGTTAATATTATAAAATGCTTAGGACAGGGCTGGTACTTAATTAAACCCCATACAAAGTGTTTGTTAAATAAATAAGTCATCTGGGAGGTGCTAAATAGGAAACTGAGTAAACAGTAGGATATACACTTGTATGAATATAAATAATACACATTATAATTAATAAGATTATGCTGAATTCCTGTTTGACTATTACCTACATATAAAAAGGACCCATGTTGGACTTATCCACCACTGTAGCCCAGCATGTAGCAATGCCTGGCACATAGTAGGTACTCAATAAATATTTCTTGAATTAATAAATCCCGCTCTAAAAATCTTTTTTTCTCCATTTAGCAGTATGTCATGGAGCCTTCTCATTCCAACAAAAGGGCTACCAAGATAATCTGGAACATCCCATCATCACCCCCCGATCCCATACACACACACACACACACACACACACACACACATCTTTCTCTGTGCCTTGCTCCTTTGGGTCTGGACTTTGAGGAAGTAGACCAATGGAAGGTTATTTCTTGTTACTATGGGAGAGGACTAACCACAGGAGGCCTGCAAGATCTAGGCAAGCAGATGCCCTATGGTATTTGGAATAGAAACTACGCAAGCTGCATTTCTCACTGTTTGACACCCTCTGTTCTGTTATCCGTAAGCCTTTTTTTTTTTCTTGGCCACACCAAATGGCATGTGGGATCTTAGTTCTGCAACCAGGGATCAAACCTACCCCCCACAGTGGAAATGCACCACTGGACTGCCAAGGAAGTCCCATCCATAAACCTTAGTTGAGTTCTGTTTAAAGATTCCAGCCTGGCCTCAGGTGAAGTATAGGGCTGAATCTGTAGGGGATTCTGTAAGTGATCAGTTTATCAACATTCATGGTTGAAGGCTGAAAAGATCTGACAGATACCAAAAACTCATGAATCTGGCAGGACAAGAGGAATGTCCAGCCATCTCCTCCCTGAGTGGCGATTCTCCATTACTAATAATCTTGGAGGGCTGAGGTGCTATTTTATTAAAGAATGCTACGGCTTCCCTGACAAACACAGGTTGTTTTCCCCACACTTACAGGGCTGTGAACTTAGTCTCCCCATCTCTGCATGTCATTCTCCCTCAACTGACTCCGAGCTCGTCAAGCTTAGCGACCACATCATGTTCATCTTAGTTTCTCCAGCGTGAATCTTAATGCCTAATGGCAAGTAGATGCAGAGTAAGTATTTGCTGAGTTAAATAAAAGTCAAACAGGAGACTGACATAGATTTCTAACTTTGATGACAGCAAGAGACTGGTCATGTTTTTATCAACAGTACTTCTTTAAGTGATCTCTCCAGGGTGTCTCCCTCTAGTTGGTCATCCGGTTTTATGAAATGAAATTACAACATTACAGCAACTACACATGAGGCCCCATAGCCCTAATAAACGCTGTTTAAGCCACTGACTTTTGGGGCAATTCATTTCACATCCACAGATAACTAGTAAAATGGTTATGCGTGGGCTTCTCTTCGTCAAGCCTCACTTGGCTACTTGTGCTGCTAAACGGCTGACCTGCCAGCCGGAAACACCGATACTGGCCCCTTGATATGGCACCATCCCAAGAGAAGATTATCTGGTGGCAGCTTGTTTCCACAGGACCCCTTCCACCCTGAAAACTGCAGTGTAGCAACCCTGAGAGTACACAGCTCAGGTGTACCTTCAAGAGAAGCTTCTGTAGGGAGCATAGTTGATTGTCAGCCTTAAACTTCCACAACTTTCAACTACTGAGCTGGTAGAGGTACCAAGGGGCTTCCCTGGCGGCTCAGATGGTAAAGAATCCGCCTGCAATGCAGCAGACCCCGGTTCAATCCCTGGGTTGGGAAGATCCCCTGGAGAAGGGAATGGCT